GGGAAAGCACAGTACACAATCCTCTGCATCAGAATTATGTAACATAAATAGAACACAGGGTATTGTTTACTTCAACTTTATATCAATCAAAGAAATAATTAACTTTGGTGTCATCTCATAAGTGAATAAAGAAAATGTTTATTTACAAACTCTGACTACAATACTGTGTACAACTTACTCAGGGAATTATCATTATAGTTATCCTCAATATCCCTTTCATATACAGCATCTGATGTCTGTAATGAATGAACATTAGAGGAGTGAGACATGCCCATCTGACCATCATCATCTTCAAACTCATCCTCCACACGTAACTCAATTATATCTTCTTCAACCTGAGGGAAAAAAATTTAAAATGGCTTCAATAAATCTGTCCAAGAAATATACAACATGTAACACAAATGAACTTATAAGTTATGACAAAATTAACATTAATTTTGAACTACAAAAGAAATTATTTCTACCACAACCTCTACAGCATAAAACATTGCAACTAGTACTTTCTTTTCCTGAATTACTGAATTCTGAATTATATATTATTACTACAATACCATTAGTAACTTCAAAAAATAGAACAATTACTTTTACTCAACTATATACTAATCTTGAAAAACATATAAAAAGAATTAGTTTATCATAAAAATTCCCTATGCCAACATACAGATCAGAGATTTCAAAAAGCTACAACATAGGCCTATAGATATAAATGAGATCTTGTAAACTGACCTCTTGTGTTTCACCAGCCAGGAGGGCTTCTTCTTCCTCCTCATCCAGATCATACTCATAATCTAAATCTTCTCCAATCAACTCATCCTCTAACCTGGAAAGAAAAAAATAATTGTTAGCACCTTTACCAAATTTCATTTGTAGGTATATAAATATCATTAACCCAGTGATACCAGGATGGCAGAAGTACATGCCATGTCCACTGTAAACCATCAAGACCACCCCCTCTGCCCTACAATGACAGGGGGCACACCACCACTCGAGCTAGAGGTGTAGATAGTAAACGCAGGCATATGTGCAAAATCTTATTAGAAGTCAGGGCAGGGAGCACAGACATTCACTTTCACTGACAGCTGCCAGGCAACTGATTCCAGTGACTCATCATTGGCATGCATTGACAGTTTCCCGTTTGTGCCCAGCTCGTTTGGTAGTTTACAGGCAACATTAGGCACTTAAAAGCTTGCATTTTCCTATAATTTTCAAAATTATAAAATTTTTGAAGGTTTAACTTTAGGCGCAATTGCCTAAAAGTTTTACCATAGAATTGATACCGCTACTCTCAGAGAAAAACAAGCTCCGTCCAATGAGCTGACAGTGCAGGAATGGTTCTAATATGATGCCACTGACTACATTGTCTAAAACAGCCATGGCATATACATACATGCCCCATGGCAGTAAGGGACTAAAATCTTTACTATAAGCACAGTATGAGAGTGTACCTATATTTTCACCTCATATACTGTTTAGATATAAATTTCATTTTCTTTAAAATGTAGGCCACATCAATCTCCTCTAGTTTCACCTAAACTTAATAAAACAAAAACTAAGTGAGCAAAGCCACAAATATATTTGCTTTCTTTGGGTCAATTGATTAAACAGTGAATGCCTGGATAAACAAAATTTACTTCTTGTAGAACAAATATACTGAAAAAAGTATCAAGATCTTGTATTACATAAGCTGAAATAGAATAAGGGGGCCACTGTGCCTCTTTTCTATTTTCTAACCTCTTATTCTGGGATTCTTAAACCTCAATTTCATAAGGAGTAATAAAATTGATTCACTAGTTTCTGATTTATAATTCAAAAACTGTTTACATAGAATTGGTAAAGATTTGTTTTAAAAATTCAGTGTTTTAACCCTTTAGCAGTGGTATTTTGCAATATAATCCTGTAGTACTATTTATTTTGGACTCGGACAGTGGGTGGGACTGCGCTGGAAAGTGCGCACTGTGGCGGTGCTGCTTTCCCTCTTTCATGCATGTGTGTTTGTATTTGTGTATATGAAAAAATATATGTTTGCATATGTATATATACGCAAATACATGCAAGCACGCAAACATACATAAATACACTCAGAGAGAGTGGAGGACCTGGCTTAGCATGCATCAAAAGCGTTCAACTCCTTTGGCAGGTAACACCCTATCGCCCACTCAGGCCTGGGGCGGCAAGCCTGGGCCCTAGAAGGCCACTAGGCCGACACCGGTTTAGCGGCTGATATCCCCTGGCCCAATGGCTCCCAGGCCACACGGCTGCCCATTGCTCCATGGGATCGGCTGTCAATTGCACATTGCATCATATGATAACATCCACGACCGATGGGTTAAGAAAACCTTTCAACCTACTCCTCTCCAGCTTTTCTGTATTCTGTGTTTCCATCTGTGCATCTTATTTCAATTTTATGACCTATCTATTTTCACTCCACTCAAGGCATGATTTTTTTATTTACTTTGTATATCATTTGCTTCATTATTTTTTCAGCCCTGAATATCAATATAAAGACAAGTAAGAAAAACGTAACTTAGCTGTAACTTTCATACCAAAGCTTTCCGACTTCATGATTAGAAAATTAATGTTCATAATAAGAAACATTGAAGTATTTTGTATTTAAAAGAAATATTTATGTAATCTATTATTTCCTATGCATGAAAATGAGTAGGAGAGAAATTATTCGTAACAAAAGATTCTGTTGCAGTTTCCTCTCTTATCCTCAGCATTCACACGAAAAGCAATTTTTCATTGGAATGCATTTCATCAATACCAAATCTACAAGTATGTAGGATGTGCAGTTTTCCTTGAGAATCACCAAAATATAATGGCAAATTTCTATAATTCTCAGAAATTTCTCAAGCCTCCCTACAGTTGTTGGGTGGAAACTGTTGCTGAACTTACGAGAAAGTTTATCCCTGAAAGATATGAAAAAACAACAAAAAATGCTGATCTGTCAATATTGCCAAAATTTGCAGTTATGGCCACTACAAGGGAAGAGAATTCTCCATTTATACATGTCTGGAGTGCAAAAAAAATATTACTGATGGGAATTACATTACACAAAATTGACCTTACCTATCTGTAGGTAAACATGAATGAGATAATGACAAGGGGTGTGCCCATTTTGCAAACCTACAAGGATGACAAATGCTTCAACATGAACTACAACTTGATTGTCCCTTGAACTAATAGGCTAGTGTTTTTGGGTTATTATTTTACATAGAATACAATACTAAAATCAACGATTATCAAGACCACCTCAATAGAGCAGAGGCTGAAAATACCCAAGCGACATTAAAGCCTTTTTATTAGTCCATACAAATTCCCCGGCCCTATATGGAAGCATTATCCATTTTTGTTTTTGTAATTTTCTTACTTTATCGTTGCAGCATTTGGTACTCAGTGTGAACTACAAATACTTACTCTGCCATTTTAAGTTTGTGTTACGCGATTTCCTAATCTGAAGCTATAAAAGCCCGAAAAAAGATCTTTCACATAGACGCCTTTTTCATTTTCATCAGATCAATGGACACAACACAAACACTTGACTACAAGGAAGGAAATGCTTTCGGCCCGGAGGAACCATGTTTCATTTGCCATTTTCTGATGAATTTGTGTGTCTATGATTATCTCATCTAGCTTTTACCATGTCGTATATGTTATCGTGACATATAATTCACTTTTTGCTGGTCTGGATTCAACGGGACTGTTTATTTAACAAAAGACTTTTCTAGAACCAAAAGTATTTTTATCTATGCAACAGAAAACGATTTTTAGAGGTAAACTATGGTAGAATCGAAAAATATAGATGTATGCGCGCGCACACACACACACACACTGATGTTCAAATATGTTACAGGAAGAGTGAAGTTAGACAAGATGACTTTATGATTTTGAATAGAAGGGGGCGAGAGGACACAGGAAAACGTTAAAAGTAGAGGCAAAATAAAGTAAGAAGAATTCCGTTTCTCGAACAGAACTATTGAAACATGGAATAATATTCTAAATAACGTTGTTTGTGCCAAAAATATGCATCATACGATATAGCAGACGAGACCATCTGAGCATAGCTCTTCTGTATTGAAATAACGTGATAAGAACACACGCACACATACACTTACATGTGTGTGTGTGTGTGTGTGTGTGTGTGTGTGTGTGTGTGTGTGTGTGTGTGTGTGTGTGTGTGTGTGTGTGTGTGTGTTGTTGTTGTTGTTGTTGTTGTGTGTGTTTGTCAATCTGTCTCTCTTTCCCTCTCATCTACATGCCTTTTTTCTCAGCATATGATATAAAATGTCTATGTAGGTCTACGTTTCCATATAGTAAATCACATACTCTTTACTTTATATACATATGTCTTATATGACATATTCATCTAAACATCACCCATTCCTTGTTCCCGATTTATGAATTTAAAGAATCATGTGTATGACCTATAAGAATAACGGAATGCATTACTGAATAAAATGTAATTTGAAAAAAAAAGTTTACTTGATGAACCTGCGTATAAATTCTTGTCATTCATAGGTAATTTTAAATCCTTTATCGAACTAGCCAGCACACTGCTATGAAATAAATATGACCCTAATAAAATATCATCAAACGTTATCATAGGTAATGTATCGCTTTTATTATTTTTTTTTTTTCATAGAAAATTAACCTTACATCAAATATCTGTAAATATTAGACAAAAAGTTATTCAAAAAATAATTCCAGTACAACAGTCCTCGTAAAATACACAATTAAAGTATATATCCCATCTACATTAAAAAATCTAATATTTCTTTCAATTACAAACGGAAAATCGCCTGACATAATTGGCGGGAAATTTTTCGACGGGCAGACGAAGACAAATTTCTCTTACGCTCCCGAGAAACTTTTGAATAACCTCGACCTATTCCCCTTTCCTGTCATTTACAAGAACCCGAGAATCACAATGGAAGATCAGGCTTTAGATGCCGAGGAGTGTATCCTGGACGATGAAGTCAGCTTCTTCACAGATATAGATGAATTACAAGCCCATGGCATCAACGCGGCGGACATTAAGAAACTGAAATCTGCGGGAATATGTACAGTCCGGGGAATACAGATGACCACACGACGTAGACTTTGTATGATCAAGGGAATCTCTGAGGCAAAAGTAGACAAAATAAAGGAGGTTAGTAACATTTCATAACAGAACTTAGTAAAAATCTTGTAACGTTTAGGTTGTTCATCAGGCAAAGGATAACCAGTGCGATTAATTTCTGTCAGCTGATTTATTTTTCTTTCTGTGTAGTGGCGCATTGTATAAAGATAACGCATTTGTTTACACACGCATAAAGTATAGTTAAATAGTGAATTTCTCATACATTTAGAACAGATTGTTACGCCTGAAAAATTCCTATAGATAACGCATTTGTTTACACACGCGCGTACGTGTAATTGTATTGTGAAATATCGATTTTGTCTCGTACATTTAGAACAATTCCCATATGGAGTTATTTTCCCTTTTCGAGAGCTTTCTGCATTAAGTGGTCGCATCATTTACATGTAGTATCATGTCTAAGTCATTGTTGTCATCTAGATATCAAATTGCACCAGATATACAGTGATCAGGGGCGTAGCCATGTTCGCATGTTGCCAGGCGATGTTGCAAATAACGACCAATTTAAAAATCATTATACATATCTAGTTTGCATTCCAGTTCAGAACCAAGGAAAATTTAGTTTTATAGAAAGTACACAACTGTTAATTATATTTAGGGTCAAATAATATGTGCATAAAACCAAATCATGATTTGAAATATTAGAATGTCTTAATTTCAAACAAAATCAAAACAATGCAGTAGTATGAAGAAATGCATGATGCAATATTAAAAGGCTTTATTTAAGCTAAGCTGTCTATTACTTCGGCTGCCGCCCACTATGCCTTTCACGAGGCTACTGTCCGCCAACGGTGGCGGCAACTAATTGCCCTTAGCAACTAGTTGCACACTCCGCTCCTTTAGTCGGAAGAATGGTATAAATAAAAGAGCTCCGACTCCTTGCTTTGTTGCCTAAAATAATCGGAGGGTCGCTCTCGAGAGGCGAAAATGCAAGTGCATCGTATGTTATCACTATCACATTTTTCAAGGATTTGTTTGCCGATGCGTTTTACAGCGAATGGCGGCAACTGCGAGTCGCGGGAGCCAGCCACTACAAAGAAGGTTGCAAAGCAGTGGCCTATGGGAGGCAACTGGTTGCCGCCACCGGTGGCCACTACAAAGAAGGTTTCAAAGCAGGGGCCTATGGGAGGCAACTGTTTGCCGCCACCGGTGGCCGTTACAAAGAAGGTTGCAAAGTAGTGGCCTATGGGAGGCAGCTGGTTGCCACCACCGGTGGCATAGTCCCCTTGTAACAATTTACTAAGAGTGCCAGACACGCAGTTGTCCAATGTAACGCTTGTGATTTCCTGATATTCATGTGTTCTTTTTTGAAGAAGGTAATATTTTGATAAGAAAAGTACTATTGATGGTACTGATATTCCTGAGGTTCAAATGAATAATTATGTACGTAATTTATGCTAATAGGTCTGCCTAAACGGAATTACCTTTATAATACATTAAATCAAATGACAGTACTTCTATATAATTTCCAAATACAGCATACACCATCTCACTGAGTAATGACTATCCATGACAGGTGGCAGCCAAGCTATGCGGAGGCGACGGGTTCGTGACAGCGCTGGTCATGTGCGAGAAGCGAAGGCTGGTGTTCCGAGTCAGCACGGGATCTGCTGAGTTGGATGCACTGCTCGGCGGCGGGATCGAGAGCATGGCCATAACGGAGGTATTCGGAGAGTTTCGTACGGGGAAGACACAGATCTCCCACACTCTGTGCGTCACGGCGCAGATCCCCAATGAAGCTGGGACGTATTCCGGAGGGAAGGTACGTTCCTGTTTGTTAACTGTTGATATATTTTGTTGACGTTATCAGATTCATAGGCGAAAATTACCACATGATCGGTATGCAAATTAATTTACATTAGGCAATGGTTTCATTTTAATTAAAAACGTTCATATAATCATTGTCATATTGACCTTCATTATAATAGTAATGGCCATGATCATAGTAAAATGAAAACGATAATAACACTATGCCATTACATGATTCTATGTGGCAGTGGCATATATATTAATGGCGAGAGCATATGAACAGTACTCACATTCCGATATCTATATTAACACGTCCACAAATATATAGGATCTATAATCGGTATGAACTACGCGAATCAGATACCAAACGATACCATGCTGCCTGACAGTATATCTAAAGCGCTATCATTGCTGCAGGTCATCTTCATCGATACAGAGAATACCTTCCGGCCAGACCGACTGCGCCCCATTGCCGACCGCTACAACCTCGAACAAGACGCAGTGCTCGACAACGTCCTGTACACCAGAGCCTTCACCTCGGAGCACCAGCTGGAGATCCTGGACCACGTGGCCGCACAGTTCCACGAAGAGCCTGGCATTTTCAAGCTGCTCATTGTTGACTCCGTTATGGCTCTCTTCCGGGTCGATTTCAGTGGACGCGGAGAGCTGGCTGATCGACAGCAGAAACTGGCGCAGTATATGTCACGACTGCAGAAGATCAGCGAGGAATACAACGTGTCTGTCTTCATCACCAATCAGATGACAGCAGATCCAGGGGCTGCGATGTCTTTCCAGGCGGACCCGAAGAAACCGATTGGAGGACATATCCTAGCCCATGCCTCGACAACAAGGGTATGTCTGCGCAAGGGGCGTGGCGAAACTCGTATTGCAAAGATCTACGACAGCCCCGAATTGCCTGAGAACGAGTGCACCTTCGCTATCACGGCAGGAGGTATTGCTGATGCCAAGGAGTAACCGCCTTTGTATGCTAAAGTGTTTATTTATTTCAATTATTACTTGTATACAGGTTTTAGAATTTACTGTAACATGATTCAAGTGAATTGAGAAAATTAATTTCAGGTCAACAGTTTTTGCTTGTACTTTTTGTTATTAGTAGTGTATTTGCTAAACCAGTTATTGTTTCAAAAGTAGAATTGTCCATTTGATTACAAAATAGTCTAGATGTTGATATATATATATATATATATATATATATATATATATATATATATATATATATATATATATATATATATTTGCAATAAGTTACTTGCTTGATTCAGGTCATGTAATCTAGATTATGGATATCTCTGGTTGTACATCTTCATGGTGTATGAATAATGTTAGTATGCTGCTCATTGGAGCATGATTGCATACATGTCCGTACACATTATGCTAGCATTGTATTTTGATCATAACACTCTTATTTGGCGCTTCATAACATTGTGAATATGACTGTACGTGGAATTAAAGGGTTACTTTAGTTGATCGACGTACTCCTTTTATTTCCAGCCAACAAAGATAGTATCTTATAGTGAATAATCCTTGAAGTTATTTGGGACAAGTTGAACGGTGATCTCAGCCAGCCAAGACTCCCGGCTGCATGTATAGCCTGATATAGAGCGAGCCAAGGTCAGGGCACATAGTGGCAGACATACAGTGAGACACGAACCCGGATGTTGGTTTGGTGTTTGATCTTATTGGTATGGAATATTCTATACGTGGTCTATTAGTGAATACATTCTGCTTCCCATATTCGATATCAGGTGTCGATTTCACGCAGTTACAGAACTTAATGTAATGTAGTACTATGCAGATTGATTCCTTCATTATATTGTATTTATTAGACATTTTTTTCTGTACTAGGGTACTTTTTTGCTGATGCTCGTAGTAGTCGGTATATTTCACCATCAATTTCTAAATCGCAAATTCGCATACCTGTTGCACGGAACTAAACCCAAACTTGTTATATCACTTGGGTATAGATTTTATCTCGATTACAGGAACAGTGAGATCAGCGCTTAACCAATGCTGTTGCCTAGTGTCGCCCACCCAAGAAGTTACTAAGCCAGTTCTCACAAACGAGTTATAAAATGATGTGTGCGTCTAGGGTCTGGAGGTAATGCAAAGTCATCTTACGTAAGGTATAGCTTAACAAAATCATTCTGGCGAATCGAACCCTCTATCAAGGATAATTAAAAACCATAAACTGGGAATCTACATGCATTAAAATGAACAGTGACAAAGTTGATCATGCACTGCATTTGTTTTTGTCTAGGTAAAATATGACTGTGTATTAAAAAAATCGTAAAGTAATAATCAGGAAATATAATTCACTGTGAATGATTCAGCAACGCAAGAAAGTTTAAAATGAATTGCAATAGCCCTTTGCAAGAAGCAGAATAATGTTCGTCATGCAAAAACAACAAAAAATGGAGGAAATTTCATTCATGCTCGATGGAAATGGATAAGAATATTTTTGCAATGTAAGAATTCAAGTGCAAAATATTGTTATATATAGAAGAGAGTATACATGTGTTTACGAATCCACCATAGAATTTGCGAAAAGGACACTTTACACTGACCATAGCATCAACTCAATATTTCCTTTTGATTTTCCCTATACATTCATGAATAACTAATGATAAAAATTGCTGGCTCTATAACCTCATAGAAAATATTAATACCCATTATTGAGACTACATCAAAACTACATTAGCATAGCCCTCGACTGGATATTACATTTTATTTCAACACTCTTCCACATGCTTTCTTTCACTGAAACAAATATAGATTTATAACCTTTACCAGAATTCTTCCGTGAATCCAGTAGATTAAATATGCTGTTTAACATTATAGTAAAGCACAATGATATACAAACTACTGGTATATGTTAAATTAATGAAAACGGCTATTTGAGGGAAATTAAAATTTGAAAACTACATTTTAAAAAGGGTACTTAAGATTTATACCACATATGGCTAGGCGCGATATGAAGTAACGAACTATGTAACAGGGCTGTCCTCATTATTTATAGAAATAAGTGATAATAAGTAATTAGTTCCGAGAAAATTGTTTTCGCGGTTAATTTTCACAGGCAGATATTTTTGTATACAATGCCTGGGAAAAGTATGTCAAGTCACAAATTATATTGTGGAAAATTCAGGATTCCATGTCGGTTTTACGGTGACTTGGGTGTGAATTGATATAAATTACTAACGTTCTACTGTTTTTATTTCTAATACGCAGGTAAGCAATGGAACCATGTGCAGTGATTATACTAGACACTAATGGACAGGGCAGTCTTTCTAATAACGCAGG